CGTAACCTCCAGCAATACGCACGCTCGTGAAAACTCCGGTTTGCTCTTCTAACACCTACGGCCGGTTTAACAGCTATCCGTGACGGCAGCCCATGTGCACTAGTAAGTCAGCAACCATATACGTCTTTCTAATTCCCTTTATTGCGGTATTACTGCTTTATGCAGTTCATTATTGTCTGCCCTTCTAATTTTCAATTAAAGCGGATGTGGCTGGATGCTTACCTCACTCGGAGGGCTCAGACTCCCCTTCTGAGTAACAGCTCTAACTGAACTGAAAAGCGCTTTCCTTCTTAAAGTCCGTCCACCTCTGCCCGAAATCCTCCTCCCGGGGGGCAATCTCCCCAGCGCTGCGCAGGCGGCGGCAGCCAGCCCCGCCCTGCCGGGCTCCGGCCGCACCGGCCCCCTCTCCCCGTGGCTCACAACGTGTCAGAAAGATGCTTTTGGCTTAGACCTCTGCACACAAATGCCATCACTCACAAGGGCTGTAGCAACGTTCTCAGCTTTGCAAGGTATCTGTTGTATTAATGGAAGGCTGGATGATTCAAGCAAGGTTGACAGATTTGGCCCTTGGGCAATTGTTTGGTGTAGAAGGACTCTTTCTTTCTTTCTTTCTTTCTTTTTTTTTGTCAGGAGATGGTGGCAAACGTTAAGGATCTCAGACCAGTGCTTTCAGCCCTCCTACAACAGCTTCTCCCCCCAGGAGAGCGCTGCGCTTGCTCCCCGCTCCCAGGCGCGCGGTGGCTCCTTGCCGGCGCGCAGGTCCCGAGGGCTCCCCGTGCCCAGCGTTCACCGCGGGCTCAGCCCCCCCAGGCCGCCCCGGCACAGTGAGCCCCAGCAGAGGCCACGACTGGCTCCAGGGACTCATTTTGAGGAAACTGGGAGTGAGTGAGAAACCAGGTGGATAGGGGAACCCTACCTAGTCTGCTGCTGTTAGAAGGCATGAATAACTTTTTCTGAGTATTTTAAAAGCTTCAGTGGATCGAACTAGCAGGTGTGTTTATGGAAGCTGATGGGATTATGACTCAATCCCTCAAAATCCAGGATCACCTTACTCACAGCCAACAATGTTTGCGGTCCCTGTAGCCCAGAGAGCAGCACTCCTCTCAGCTCCATCAGCAAACAGAGCTGACATGCACTTTCAAAGGAAATTATTTATATCCAGCATAGTTATTCCAGCTTAATGATTAAAATCAATAGGGAGACAACCTGCAGGATAAATCCTCTTACAGTTCTAGGAATGAAAGATGCTGCGGAGCCAGCCAGCTGGCACGAAATCAGAAACATGGGAGTGCAGTGAGCAGAAATGGGAGCAGACAAGCAAAGTCGTCCAGAGACCTCTGGATAGCGTTTTTAGACGGTGATTAATGAGGAGTCAGCCCTGGATCTTACAACGAAGACGAGCCCTTAAAATAAAGCAAGTAGCCGCCAGCGAAGGAAAGTGTTTGTGCGGGAGAGCGGGAGACAGCCACGTGCTGCACCCTCGGTGCTTGCTAGCTACCAGCGCTGGACCCCTGGGCACCCTTTTCGGGTGAGGTGCTGCGCCCGGGCTCCCGTTCGCGCACAGGAGATGCTCTCGGGAGCCCGCTGCCAGGCGGCGGGTACGGGCGAGGGCGGCCAGGTCTCGTCCCCGCTGCAAGGGCTGCCTGCAGACCTGGTGTCTCGCTTGTCTGCGCCCTCGGGGGAATCACCCCCTCCTTTCCTCTCCCCTTTGATCTTTTCCCATTATTCTTTATTCTGACTGAAAGCCTTGAACATCAAGAGCTGTGCTGGAGCAGACAGAGAAACTGCCTCAGCAATCAAGGCTTTGGTTTGTTTTGTTTTCACTTGTTTTAGTTTTACTCTACTTGTTGGACAGTGGCTTCTTCACCAACGCAAAGACCTCTGCACGCGGCTTCACAGCACAACACAGCCCTGCCCGAAGGCCAGA